CCAGGTCCAGACATAGTAAGGATTGACAGATTGAGAGCTCTTTCTTGATTCTATGGGTGGTGGTGCATGGCCGTTCTTAGTTGGTGGAGTGATTTGTCTGGTTAATTCCGTTAACGAACGAGACCTCCGCGTGCTAAATAGTTCCGCTTACCATTTTTGGTAGGTTTGTGGTCTTGGCCGATATATTTGATATGCATTACGCAAGAAACGCCTCGAAATTTCATGCTAAAAAGACGTCTGCAGTGCGGAGGTGGCTTGCCGACCCAGATGTCGAGCGATTTGGAGAGTATTTTCTGCAGCAGTGGCTGACGGGAAAGTTTGTGAAATGGCAGTGCTTCCGTACGCCTGTTGGTTGGGCAACTACAAATAATCCCGTGGAAACGTTCAATGCCAAGCTGAAGAAACCCTACACTTTACGAGAGCGAATGCTAATGGGGTCTTTGCTTGGTCAACTTCAAGTTTGTTGTCGAATGGAGAGCGTGTCGGGTGCTGCATTCCATGAAACATCTACCGCTAGCAGCAGGCTTCGACGGCGCGCGACAGCTTTGCGCCGACAGCAACTGCTCGTTGAGACTCCATCCTTCGACGGCTCCAGCAATTTTGTACTTGTCGTTTCTAAAGCTACACCTCGAATCTACGTGAAGCCGACGAGGAAGTCGATGGAAGTTGTGGATGTGGATGTGCAACTTGGTGCTAATGCGGCTAGAATGGAAAGAGATGAACAGCCGGAGGAAGGATGGTCAGTGGATTTAACTACTCGCACTTGCCCGTGTAAATACTTTTTCCACAGAGGCCAGTGTGTACATCTTCTCTTCGCCTTTTATACAAGGTTTGGTACTGACCAACCTGGCAAGAGGAAGTTGTTCAACCGCAGCCGGCGCAACAAAAGAAAAACCTTAGAAGATCAGATCGCAGAAGCAGCCGAAGCAGACCATCCAAACGTGGACGTCCGATCCTTAACGGTCCTGCTTCATCGTTGTTGTAGACACACGAAATGAATGCTTGCTTGAATATACCATCACTTCATCGCCTTATTGCCTTCTTCTTGCTATGTTTCTTATTTTACGTATAGTGTCTTTGCGAGTTGAACACACGGACAGCCGATAAGGCTGATGATGACCTCGCGTGGGATTTAATTCCCATTAAAATGTAGTAAGCATATATTGTGCTCTTAAGCCGGTTAGTCTTGCACAAGGACGCAGTGAAGTCTGTTGGATCTACCCTCGCGTCTCCTCATGTCGATTTTCCGCCGTTCAGCTGTTGGTTTGATAGCCACAAAGATATCGTTGATGTCTCCGATCTTCACTGTGGTCTTGCTGCTGACGTCCACTTTGTTCCAGTATTACCATATTGTTTTCCTGCGAATGCAGTCTATAAGATTCAGTTGCTACGTGAAACGAATACGTACGTTAAGCCTCTAGAGATATTACTTTGAAAGTCTGGCATTACAAATCCCTTACTCTGACAATAAGGATCGCTTACTCTGACAATACGGATCGCTGACTCTGACAATACGGATCGCTTACTCTGACAATACGGATCGCTTTTTTATTTAGCTTAAAATAAACAGAAAAAACAAATTAAATTGTGTATTCAGTTACTCACTGTCCTGTGCACTCTCCGCCTCACTCTCCCACTCGCTCTCCTCCGCGCTTTCTGCTTCTCCCACCTCCCCACCCTCCTCTTCCTCGACTTCTTCTTCGCTTGCGTCCTCACTTTCGTCGTCGCTCTCAGCGTCGACCGCATCATCATTATCTACGTAGAAATCATCATCGCTCTCCTCCTCAATGATATCACTGTGCTCGACCTCGTCATCCACGCCGTCTTCGTGGTACACGTACGCTAGCTCTTCAGTGTAGCTGGACTACCCCGGTTTCTTCGGATGGCGGCGGTGGTTATGCTGGTACAGCGCGTTTCGCTTCTTGAATTTCCTGTTGCACTTGTGGCAAATCCCCCCAGGCGCATCAGCTTCTAGGCGCACTTTCTTGGACTTGACCTTGTTGGGGTTGTCAGCACAGTAACGGCGGTGGTTGGAGAGATGACGACGCGATGTGCACTGTTGGACGCAATGCTCGCACATGTAGCTTCTGAACACAGCAGCTTCAGTTGCGTCGGCCTTTTGTGGAATTCCACGTACACGTACGTAACAATGCAGCCTCAAATTTTCCTCTTCAAATTCAGCCCCTGCATGGACCAAGTCTCCGCGGAACAGCAGGAATGCGCCCGCGTCGAGTGACAACAGTTTGCATTTTTCCATTTCTGCATAGACTCCAAAACAGCCAGGATAGACGTAGAACTGTGTGTCTGATTGAAGAGCAATAATGACAGACGCCTGAACAATACCCTTTTCCAGTTTCGCTTTGCTTGTCTCGAATGAAGGAAAATCTAGGTGGATGCCTTGGCGAAGGCCCCCCGGAAGTGATTTCAATGCGTTCGAAATAGACTTTTTGGTGTACCAATTTTTATCAGATCCTTCTACAATACCCTTCACTCGCTTGTATATTTTGTTTGTAGCCGGACCAAATGTAGCAATAGGAGCTTGAAGACGGAAATGGTCACGTTCTACTTCATACACTTCACCAAAAATAGGTCTGAAGTCCAGTTGCTCGATTTCCTGTTTAGCTTTCTCCAAAGTGTGAGGCGGTAGTCTTAAGTTTTCGACAAGGTAGCCTTCGTTCCAGAACTGCGCCTTTAGACTGGCATCCATAATGACTGACACCTCGTCACACTTACTGGCCAGGCACACACGTGAAGGAGCACACAGGTCGTGTCAAGTCGTAAATGTGGTTGAGGTACTCGCCAACAGAGCGGACCAACGGCTGTAGCTTCACGCGTCTAGCACAACGCACGTCTGAAAGCAGCAGCCTCTTCACGACGAACAGCAAGTAGGTGCCGACTGCGAGGCTTCTTGGGGGCAATACTGACTCGTTAACAGAGTCTTCAAGGCTTCGGACGACGGAACAGACACCTCGGTGACGTTTGGGTTGGAAAACAAGCAAGTGCGGCTTCTGGTGGCGGCTCAGACTTTTCTGGCAGTGGTGGCGGAGCTCGTGCTTGGGGGAAGGCACTGCGTCGTGATTGTTGTGAGCGGGTGGATTTGGACGGGGTTGCGGGCTGCTCAAGCGACGAATTGGGGCTTCTTTGGTAGTTCTCGAGTGATAAAACACTGGTTATCGAGCAGTACTTGGTAGTACCCTCGGAGGCTTAATTACCAATGGTACTTAAGCCTCCGAGGGCGTCATCGTTTTACAGGCGATGACGTCAATATAACACTGCACTGGTACAGTACAATGTCGTCGATTGTTGTGGACTGTGGATCTGTCGGTGTGGATTATCCTTAAAAAAACTGTGGATTTTTCATATTTCCTCTACTGTACCCCAAGGCGACCTGAGTAGCATGATATATTGCTATATCTGATATATCAGCTGTCCAACATTATATTTAAGACGATTTTTACTGAATACCGTAGTAAGCCGACTCTGTAGTTTGTACGTAGCAAATGGCATTCCGTCATCCTTAAAACGTTTGTTTACCCAATACCGTAAATCACGCTCGGTTATCCATAAAAAAACTTCTGCTTGCCGGTAGTGATTCTTGACATTTGATCAGTCTCAAATTCACAATCGACCATCGACAACAGTAGTACACCATGCTCAAGACCATTTTCTTTGCTATTCCAGCTCTTCTCGCCGCCACCGCCACGGCTGTCGATTTTTACCAAGATGACACAGACCTTCCATCGGCGCCGTACCACCCGCCGCGCTCGGTCACGCCAACCCAGCAGAAGGCAATTTTCGATCGTTTTGCCGATGGTTTCCTCCTGTCCGGCACGCCACTGCCGTTCCTCAAGGACCACCTCGCCGACGACTACATCCAACACAATCCCGACTTCTTGTCAGGCAAGGCTGCCGTACTTCAGGGCTTCAGCGGCGACCTCTCGTCGTTCGGGCTCGTGTACCCGGCTAACGTTATCACTCGTGGCTTTGATGAGGACCTCGGTCAGGGCTGGATCCACTACTACTTCACACCTGCGGCTGGCCAGCAACTGAGCGTGGTCGTC